AGATCAGCAGCACAAAACCATTGTGGGGGGGTTTCAACAGCTGCAGCTGATCAGGTGGATGCAGAGATGTGGTATATTTTGGCCACCACAGATTTGCTGGGACATGTCTTTGTTATCCTTTGCAAACACTAAACACACAAGAAAAGTTTATTCAATACAGTTGTAAATCGAAGAGAATCAGGGCTGTGAAAACTTGCTGTGCCACTCCCCAGCCTGCTGCCCTTGGGACACAGGGTGGGAGGATGACAGCAGAGTGGCTCATAGGAATGGCTGACTAAGGCTGGTTCCTCAGAGACCAACAGTGATGGGTGAGAAAGGTGAGAATGTGCAAGATTTTCAGAAAACCTGGATTAAAGATTGGCCTGTGTGGGGACTGCAGGCTTTGGGGATCTTGGACAGCAGAGAGGAAACATGAAGTCAGGAAGAGCTGATTCACAGAGTCCCTTGTGAACTGAGAACAAGAGCTGCTATACAAAGTGGAGCAATGGGCCTTCTGAGTGAGGAGGAGGGAAAGCAGCCTCTTTCTCCTTTTCTGCCACTGATTTGATATGGGAAATAGAACAGGTGGTGTTTTCTGGCCACTGGGATCCTCCATCCTAGCCATTTAATTCATATTCTCTTTTTGTCCAAGTACATCGATCATCCTTTCCCTGTGTCCACGTGCTCAGACTCCACAAGGGTGGGTTTAACATCCTGGGTTGGGTTGGTTGCAATCACGTGTGGATGATGGACATGTAGATGATAGAGGCTTCTTCAAAGAATTCAGTTCCTGTACGAATATGAGTGTGGGGGGTGTTCCTGAGAAAGTAAGACCTTCAGTGGGAAAGCTCTGGAGGGGAATCCACTCCAGGAGTTACCAACAGCAAACCCAAAACCTAATCAGTGACCAGGACAAGCTGGCTGTCCCACCCCTGCTGCCAAGATTTTCTTGTCTCAGTCCTTGGGAGCATTGTGACCCTTTTTTATTTTGTTTAAGCTTCAGAAGCTCAATTCTCTGGGGAATACTGGAAGAACAAGCATTCATAAGCACTCCTGACACAGTTCTGTATCACAGCTGTGATGTGTCCCACATTTTGCCCTGAAAGGCTCAATTTCAAGCCTTTCATAGTCACAGAAACTCTTCTATTTCTCCAGTGAGCTCTGCCTCCTTTAGCCTGATCTCCACTTCCAAGCTTTTCAGCAGCTGCTGCAATTTTCTTCATCAGGGAAGTAACTGTGTTAGGTGCTGGAGGAAGGGATGGCTGAGTCTGAACCCTGGGGAGTGTTACCCAGGGTGTAGGGTGCTGACTTCCCACCAGCTGCACTTCTTCAGGACCTGAGTCCCTGCTGGACCCAGTGGGATGACTCCCACTGGGCTCCAAAGGCATCCGGTGGCTGGTGGATGCATTCCTTGGATTGACATTAGTTTGCTGTGTTTTACTGTAGGAAAAAGCTCTGGGTTTCTGTGTTTTGTATTCTGAATTTCTGTAAAGCTCTGCATTAGATGCAGCAGTTCACAAATTCTGAGAGAGATGAGACACAACTTGAAAATGGTTATAATGAGGAAGAGCATAACAGGTATTTACAAGAGATTTTCTTTATTCTCCTCTTGTTTAGATTTCCAGTCCCTTTATTCAGATCCAAGCAAGTGACAATCTGGGGAGGAATGGACAAAGCAGATATTATGTAACACTCTAATTATTTTTCCTTGTGGGAGGAAAGTACTTGTGTTCACATCGACTTCAGCAGCACTTCTGTAACTGGCACACCATTTATTCAATTGTCATAAAAATGAGTTCTTTTCAGTCATTTGGCAATATTTGCTTTCAATGCTTCTATCAGTTATGAAGAGGGAAAGAAATGTAATGAAACACTTCTAGTTCTGTAAGGACTCATTGATTTCACTTCGTGTGTGGTGCGTGGGTGTGTGAGCAAATGTGTTCATGGATGTTGGTAGTTGGGCACCTTCCCCTCCTCTGGGCTGCCAGCAGAGTTTCTGCCTCTGGGAGTAGGACTTTCTATCCACCAAAGTGGAGTGTTACTCTACTTTGCTTCACAGGGCAAATCTTTCAATGGAACTGCTGCTCTAGGGCATATTTCTTAGTTAAAAGAAAAGTTAAAGATAAAGGTTTTTTGTGGATTTGTTTGTTTGTTTTGGGTGGGTTTTGTTGTGGTTTTTTTTTAACTCTCAGTTCATCCAACCAGTTTTAAAAGATTTTTTTCTTTTCCTCTCCTCTCTTTGCCCCTGGCATCCCTTTAATCCCATACTCAGTGATGTCAGGATCCCAGGCTGGGAGCTCTCTAGAAAAATGGCTGGTTCCTGTGCTTTGTCTCAGTTTGGCCTCAAGTCGTTTAAGACTTGATTTTTCACAAATTCTCAAAATTCTAACAGGAAACTGCAATAACATCATGGGAAATAAAAAGTGAAGGAAGACTCACCTCTCCTAGCCCAGGTCTGTTGGACAAGGTGTGGGCATTGTGCTTTCAGTGCACTTGGAGTCATACAGCCCTTCTCACATCCTGAAGTGCTTGCTCAAGAGTAAAATACTACAAATATGATACTTATTTTGAGGACTAATTGAGTAGGCTTTGGAGGGGAGTTGAAGGGAAGATGTCACCTATCTGAATGTTAGGTCCCTGTGCTTCCTGTGTGGCTCTGGAAAGCAAAGCATCTGCAGAGCCTGTCCTAAGGAAAATGTCTGGGGTTGTTTCTTTTTGTTCCAGATTCCTCTCTGTAAAATAAAGATAACAGTTCCTACCCTGGAGGTCTTGGAGATGAGATTCTGAGGATGCTGTAGTAATGAAAGACGTGCAATATCTGATTTGATCAATAAACCTCACATCCTTTGCTCATTGCTATTATTATCCTGTGCTGTTTTCTCATAGGTGTGTTGGCACTCATCACAAACTATGGGCTTTGCTGACTTTGATCCTTATTGTTTGTCAGATCTTGTAAGCCCTGCTGGCTTTTCTCTGAGAGATTAATTAGGGTGATGGAAGTATGGTGCCAGCAGCAAGAAGAGCTAAACACCTTTGGTGGGTTTTGGTTGCTGTTGTTACTGTAGTGCCCACCTCACTGGGAGACTGCAGACGACCTCTGGAGGAAGAACAAGAGTAAAAGACTACCTTACAAAGTGCTTACCTTCATTTCTTGCTCTTCTTTTCTTTCTCCCATAGAATGAGAGAAGGGTGAAGCTGGTTGTGATGCTGAGGGGAGGTCTGTCACCTTAGCTAGGTCATCAACAGAGCTTGGTCTGTGCAGTCCTGCAGGTTCAGGGTTCTCAGGAGCTGAGACAGCATTTGGGCAGCAGACATCTTCCCAGGTCCCGTGGGTGTTGTCCTGGGGTCTCTTCCCTGGAGAGGAGCAGGCAGCACTGAACAGCCTGGTTTGCTGTGCAGCTGACTTCTCTGTGCCCACCTTGCAGGAGCTTTATGCTGGTTTCTCACCTATGACTGTCCTCTCTTG